TCGAATTTTGAATCTCGTATTTCGAAACTTGAATCTCGAATGAGCCTTCTTGGCTTTCGTACATTCGAGATTCAAGTTTCGAAATACGAGATTCAAAATTCGAGATTCGAAATTCGAGTTTCGAGATTCAAGATCCAGATTAACCAATCAAAAGGCTCATTCGAGATTCGAGGTTCGAAATACGAGATTCGAAATTCGAGATTCGAAATTCGAGATTCGAAATTCGAGATTCGAGATTCAAAATCCAGATTAACTAATCAAATACGGGTTCAACATTTGATTACTACCCTTTATTATGTTTTATCTATCAATAAATCGTTTAATATATTTATAACAAATGAGTCATTTGATTAAATTACAATACAAGAAGAGTGTTATATATATTAGAAGGAAAGTTAAATAATCATTTGATTTTTGATCAGGAATATATACTTCAATTTATATTATGACTTCTTAAATATTAAATAGAATACATATATCAGGCAGTGGCGGATTTAGAGGGGGGCCCAGGGGGCCCGGGCCCCCCCCCTTTTGAGTCCAAAAAATACACAATATTTGACAAATCGATGTTTTTTGGTGTGGCTGTGGGCCCCCACCCTGACCTCAAACTGGTCGCCCCCCCCCCCCCTTTCAAAATTTCTGGATCCGCCACTGTCAGGAATGTATATATTTTTGCATTGTCGACTGTACATAAAGGGTTGCTGACATAATAATACAGTTATAAATAGTGTCTAAAGATTAACAAAATCCCCACCCCTACCGGCAACACCTGCCAGTTTTTCCCGACACTGAAAATGTTACTTTAAAAATTTGAAAGGCAATGTAGCCTTGATAAATGAAAACCGCGCTCGTTTTCCTAATAGAGGGAATACATTAAAATAAAGTTTTCAATTACTTATCTTCATCTAAGGCTTTGATTTCTTGAACTAATTAACAATTATATATACAATACAGATTGCAAATATGAATTAGAATAAATGCAGCATTCATTTTATCTTATATCAAACAGTAGATTAGTCTAAATTAGCTGCAGAACTATAGCGTTATGGTTTTATATTTTAGTCTCTGACCATAGCGTTATGGTCAAAGACTAAAATATACTCGGTTTTTATTTATCAAGGCTACAAGGATTTTGTTAATCTTTAGTCACTATTTATAACTTTATTATTATGTCAACAATCCTTTATATATAGTAGACAATGCAAAAATATATATATTCCTGATTATGTATTCTATTTAATATTTAAGAAGTCATAATATAAATTGAAGTATATCTTGCTGACCAAAAATCAAATGATTATTTAACTTTCTTTCTAATATATATAACACTCTTTCTTGCATTGTAATTTATTCAAATGACTCATTTGTTATAAATATATTAAACGATTTATTGATAGATTAAACATAATAAAGGGGAGTAATCAATGTTGAACCCGCATTTGATTGGTTAATCTGGATTTTGAATCTCGAAACTCGAATTTCGAATCTCGAATTTCGAACCTTGAATCTCGAATGAGCCTTTTGATTGGTTGATCTGGATCTTGAATCTCGAAACTCGAATTTCGAATCTCGAATTTTGAATCTCGTATTTCGAAACTTGAATCTCGAATGAGCCTTCTGGGCTTTCGTACGAATGAGCCTTCTGGGCTTTCGTACGAATGTTGAACCCTCTTTTGATTGGTTAGCTTGGATTTTAAATTTCGAAACTCGAATTTCGAATCTCGTATTTTGAAACTCGAATCTCGAATGAGCCTTCTGGGCTTTCGTAGATGTGATTTTTTTTCTTTCAAAAACTATGTTTTATCATTCGAGTAAAGAGCAATGATATATGATAGAAGGGCAACAACTGTATTAAATGTTAGGCTGGATATTGATTTTTAATTGCACAGCGTTCAACACCTGTGGCGTCAAAAATAAAACGCATACTTTCACCTAATAGCCCATACTCTATGTTATGATATTTTGATTGCTACAGATTTCCACAAAATTTATAGGAAATATACATATGGAATGTATATCTATAATTACTAAGTAAACAGAATATTACTCTGATTTAAGCTGAAAAATTTTAAATGCTTTTGATGACGTTGCGACTGTGTGGCTTTGAAAGTGCGTGGACGTGAAAAGGCTACCGGTAGGTTATTTGAGATATTTGCTCTTTGATAAACCCGCAAGGCTGACCTTACGCGATGAATGAGGTTAATATTTCTTATTTTAAAATATATTGATTAATACGAAAGCCCAGAAGGCTCATTCGAGATTCAAATTTCGAAATACGAGATTCAAAATTCGAGATTCGAAATTCGAGTTTCGAAATTCAAGATCCAAACTAACCAATCAAAAGCGGGTTCAACTTTTGATTACTTCCCTTTGTTAGTTTTTTACTATCACGAAATCGTTGAATATATTTATAACAAATGGATCATTTGCTAAAATGATAATGCAAGAAAAAATGTTTTATGTATTAAAACGAAATAAAAATAAAATTTGGATTACATTTTGAAAAATACATATATAATCTTATTTTTCTAATTTAACAAAATAGTAAATACGTAATATGGAATATTATATGGTAACGATCAGACCATATCTATTACTTGCTGAATAAGTAGGTCAACTAATATTATTTCATCAGATCATTGCTGATGGATTGATTGATTTATATTGTTTAACGCCGAGTCGGCAATATTTCAGCCATATTTCGGCGGATATTGCTGATGGAGAATGTTGCATTTAATTATAATTAGACATGAAATATTATGAATCGTATCTATCTGCACAATAATATAAGGGAATATCATTACATTTATAAAGGGTACATTTGTGCAGTGAGATTTGACTGCTGAATCGAACTGTAGCGTTATATAAGGATTTATAAGAGTATATTTTAGTCTTTGGCCATAAAGCTATGGCCAGAGACTAAAATATAACACCGTAACGCTATATAGTTCTGAATCTAATTCATCTACTATTTGATAAAAGATGAAATAAATGCCGCACGCCGCATTTAATTTAAATCATATCGTTGAGCTGTGTTACAACGCACTTTGAAAAATTACGCACTTCGAAAAATTTTTTCAAAGTGCCTTAAAATTTGGGACCAAGCTTACGCACTTTGAAAAAAATAATTTTTTTTCAAAGTGCGTTAATATCGACCATATTAATGCACTTTGAAAAAAATGTAAAGATTGATCATTATTCCTTCAAATAATCGGTATCATAATGATAAATAACAGATCCTGTTTTGATAACTTTTTTATGATAAAGTCACTGTAGGACCTGAGATGTTGAAGTTTTAAATATATAAGGTTTTGATAATATAAAAGGGAAAACTAAAGGGTCTTGAAAAAAAGAGTGACGATTGTTTAAGTTCATTAATTCGTTTCTTCTTTTTTTTTTTTAATTCTAGTCTTTGATTAGTAGATGTAAAGGTGTATAGGGGGCACTAACAGAGGACAGCTTCAAGCAACTTAGCATTTATCATAATAAAAAGGGGCCAATTTGATTGTTCAAAACTATATGATAATTCTTTCTCTCTCATACGTTTTACTGTACTTAAAAATTTCTAGTTTTCATCTGTTTTAATTAACTCATTTATTATTGAAAGTTTTTAACGTCATACCAGTTAGGTAAATACATAATTATATGAATGCTTTGAGTATAGCATAGACATCGAGACTGGGCAAAGGGCCAGGGGAGGGGAGGGGGGCTAAGCCCCCCACTTATTTTGTAAAGATATATACATCGTATAAGCATTGAAAATGCAGCGTACCCTTTTTAGGTTTATTGCTCCACTCCCCCGTTTGTTACCGACACCTATGTATTGGAAAGATTAAAAAGATTTGGATTTAGGGATCTTATACCCGTCTTTTCCTCTTTTCCTCTTTTCGACGGAAGTAAAATCAATTCATTTTTGAGGTTAGGGTTGGGCTTAGTTTTTTGAAAGATAAATATCAAATAAAATCTTTCCGTGATAAAAATTTGATTTTTTTTTTTCAAAGTGCATTAAGATTCTCCATGGTAAAATATATTGATGTAGACTCTTAACGCACTTTTTTTTTTCAAAGTGCGTTGAGTTGGTCCCAAATTTAACGCACTTTGAAAAAAATTTTCAAAGTGCGTTGATTTTGTCCCAATTTTAACGCACTTTGAAATTTTTTTTCAAAGTGCGTAATTTTTTCAAAGTGCGTTGCCACAAAGCTGTATTGTAGATATGATTTTTAATCAATTCAAGAAAACAAAGCCTTAGATGAAGATGAGTAATTAAATACTTAATTTTTATGTATTTCCTCTATCAGGAAAACGAACACGGTTTTTCTTTATCAATAGTACGTCGTCTTTCAAGTTTCAAGCCTTTCAGTGTGTTGGGAAAAATGGGCAGGCGGGGTGGGTAGGGGAGGGTGGGTTTATTGTTAACCTTTAGACACTTGCCATGTATTCATAACTTAATTTATACGTCATCAAACCAGTAATCAAAGTAGACAATACAAATATATATATAATCCTGATATATGTATTCTATTTAATATTTAAGAAGCTATAATATTAATTGAAGTATATCTTGCTGATCAAAAATTCAACGATTATTTAACTTTCCTTCTTATATAAATAACACTCTTTCTTGCATTGTAATTTTATTGAATGACTTATTTGTCATTTACAGATTAAACGATTTCTTGATAGTTAAATCATATTAAAGGGGAGTAATCAAATCTTGAACCCGCTTCTGATTGGTTAATCTGGATCTTGAATCTCGAAATTTGAATTTCGAATGAGCCTTCTGGGCTTTCGTAGATTAATACCCGAGGCTTTTTTTCGGGAGTGTGAAATAAAATTTGATACACTTTTATTTTTCTGTAAGTAACTTTAAAAGATGATTGCAACATTGATGTATTATAAAAAAAAAACACTAATGAGAACATGAGAGGTTTTCAGAGTTTTGAATTTTTATACGATTTTGTGACATACCGTAGCAGAATATCCCTTTGAATTTGTTTTGGGAACCATATACAAGTGGCCTTTAAAGGGTACCCATACTTCTTGAAAATCTAGGAAAAATATAAAAGGAAAATAGAAAATTATCACACTTGTAGGGCGTAATGTTTGGGGAAAAAAGCATGCGCTGAAAATAGTCTTGTCGATAAACAGTTTTTCGGGGGGGGGGGGGGGAATTTTAAAAGTTCACAGATCTTAGTATTTAAATGCTCTCCCAAATTAATTTTCAGTGCATGTTATTTTGAGACAATTTAAAAAAACGTTTTTGCATGTATTAATCATGTACGAGAAATGATCCAAATGTATTGTCACAGTGTCCATATCTTTTATATTTGGCGCCATATTATCAAATATTATATACCAAAAGATGCACAAATATAAATCTAATTAAAATTGAAATTTTTGTTCAATAATGTTTAACTGAATTTATTTTATAGGTGTTTAAAAAAGAGAACATATGGGGTGTCGCCGCGTCACAACCGAACGTCACAAATTTAAGTGTACTTTTTTTAGAATAAAAAAGACAAACACATTAAAAAACATCTTTTAAAAGCGTCTAATCAAAAAATATTTTTAAAGACAAAACTGTACATCATTTTCTGGTGTTAAGTTGAAAATTATGACTTAATTGCTATTTGTTTTTCAAAAACATCATTGTTTTACTCCGGTGCATTGAAAAAGGGAAATGTCAAAATGGATAAAAAAGCCAAAACAAATTGTAATGCATTTTGCTTCAAAATGGAGAAATCACCAGTAGAGACAGTTACGTTGATATACCAGACTCACAGAGGAAAGAATGTAAATAAGAGACTTGTTTAGATAGTTTCAGCGGTCTCGGGTGGTTGATGAGTCATTGAATGCTCACTGCTCAACAGATGACAAGAAGACCGAAAGATGGGAGGACAGACGGAAACAATCTATGTTGTGTGACGTTGTTAAAAAAGACAGACGGTTAGGGCGATATGTGAAATTTTAAGTTGGTCTTATACTACTTTTCAAATAATTTTGACAGAAGAATTAATTATGAAAAGAGTGAGTGTACGACTGGTATCAAGTTTACCATAAGAAAGTGAAATTTTGTGAACGTGTTCTTGGATCTCAAATATGTTGTTAATGAAACAAAGGGAAGGGTCAAAATGTATGACGGCACTTATCCGTCATATGACGTTATTTAGGTGTGGCGACTACCATAACCGCACGTTGTATAAAATCCGATATTTTTGAAAAGTATAAATCATGTTGAATTGAAATTTTTAGGTCTGATTTAAAATATATGTAAATTTCATAATTAATAATTTTGTTGTTTTTCGTCGACAGGCAGCTATTTTATCGAACTTGTGACATTACTTTTGGATCAACCCTCGTATTTGTCAAATATACTGCCATTTAGAATTTATTTATAATGCGGAAAACTCGACATCAAATTCTGTTACATGTAGTAATATTTATTTCACTTCAAAGTTTTAAAGGTGCATGGATACAGATTTGAAGTTAATATTATCTGTTTAATATTACGACTTCTGTATTTTGATAGCATTTTACACAAAAATAAATTTGAAAACTTATTTCATCTAAAAGTTATTGAAAAAGAACAAAGTATGGTTTCTATACAATTCTTGCCCTGTGATTTTCTAAAAAATAAAACTGGTGTAAAAGATGAAATTAATGCTTTCTGAGTCATTGATATTCCATGCAGAAAAATTATACAAATCATTTTTCTCATACATGTTTTCAAATGCTTATTGTGACGTCATAAACATGTTTATTTTCCCGTATTTTCTTCAAAGGTTGCAGAAGACATCAATTTTCAATGGAATTTTCTTTCAGAAAATATTGTCCACAGTCATCGCCCACAAAGATTTTAAAATATGTAATTTGTTACTGTTTTTTGCACAACATATCAAAAAATTCAATTCGGCGACGGCAGTGGACACTATTTTCTAAAGGAAAATTACCCTTGAAATTGGCTAATTTGAGGCTTTTTCTGTCCAAAGAAGAAGGTATTCTTTTAGCTTTATTGCGCCTTAAAAATGTAATGACGTCAAAAAGTTTTGAAACTTTCTTATATATTAGTAAATAAATGACTCTGATAAATCAGGAAAGAATATGGCATGAAGGTTTACCATTCTGCAAATGTGACGTCATTAATGTGAAGCATTTCTCTATTTTCAACAGAAAAAGCCTCAAAATGGCACATTTCAAGGGTGATTTTCCTTTAGAGAACAGTGTCCACAGGCGTCGCCCACGTTAATTTTTTGATATTTTGTGCAAAATTCAATAACAAATCACATATCTCAAGATCTTTGTGGGCGATGCCTGTGGACAATGTTATCTGAAAGAAAATTCCATTGAAAATTGTTGTCTTCTGCAACTTTTTAAGAAAATACGGGAAAATGCACATGTTTATGACATCATAATTAGCATTTAAAAACACATGTGAGAAAAATGACTTGTATGATTTTTCTGCATTGAATTTCAATTATTTAAAAAGCATGAGTTTTCAACTTTTACACCAGTTTCATTTTTTAGAAAATCACAGGGCAAAATTTGTATGGAAACCATACCTTCTTCTTACAGAAATACATCACATTTATGACGTCATATTTGCAGAAAGGTAATTCTTTGTGTCATATTCTTTTCTGGTTTATCAAAGTCATATACTTAACTAATATTTAAGCAAGTTTCAAAACTTTTGATGACATAACATTTTTAGGGAACAATAAAGCTTAAACCATACCTTCTTCTTTTTGGATGTGTTTGATTGACACATCCTTGCACTCTCACAAAATTTACTTTTATTCAAAATACTTAGGAAAAGTGGCAATCTTATTGTGTATTATTGAAAAATATTTAAACTTTAATCCAGAAAAATAATTATATTCAGAGTAGAAATGTTGGAAAGCAAAACTCCTTCACAAGTATCGTCATTCCGAGCTAAGTGTTGTGTACAGAGTTTAGCAAATTGATCACACCCCGTGAAACGTACACAGGTTTGGGTAAACAGGGCACGAGCTCTATTATTGTTGATATTTAAGATTCACCGGGTGCGTTCGATCGTTAAAGTCTACTCACATACATGTTAACCTATTGTGATGAAAAATAGGGAGATTCAGACCTCAAAAGCGGTAGCATTGTGCGCACGTTGTTTTATGCTTGGATTATCGATACATTTCATGTAATATACATGTATATAGCCTAAATGAAACCTACAATAATTAATCTTAAATATCAACTGCAAAGAAGAAGACAGAAACACCTTAAGTTTGATATAAATTGTACAAATTCAAATATTTTCATGCTCATCATTTTGCTTGGATTGGCTGTTTAACTTAGCCTTTTGAAGAGTGATCTTTGCTGATATAGCCTAGAATCAATAATTCTGAATGTTCATTCAGTTGTAAATAAAGCAAATGATGACATGGTTTAAACTAGATCTAAAACAAGTTCCTAACTTTCGTCATATAAATCAGATTTCCCGCGATGATCGAAAACGAAAGTAGAGATATGCCACATGGCTTGCCAAGGTCAATCGAGTGATTTCTATTGACTTTATCGATAAAATTGGGAGCTCCTGTGCTTTTATAGACGATGTCAAACATTTTCATCTAATTCTTTAAAGCTATATCTCCTTTTTCATGACAGTGACGTTGACTTAATTTATCGTAACCAATGTAATCACTGGTAATCTTGTGCTATGGTCGTTGTTAAATTCGTGCTTGAAATCTATGTACACATCGGTACAATAAAAGCGTTTGTATACCTCCGAGTCAAATCACGTGATATCTAACGAGATTTTATGAGAGTGGCTTCAAAAATGGATACCCAAGCAACCAAAAATACTTTAGACGAAACTTTTGTAGAAAAGCGGTAGATTTCTGAATTAAATCGGTAGGCGGGAGTTGGAGTGAAAAAGCGGTAGACTCCCGCCTAAATCGGTAGAGTTAACATGTATGCTACTCACCACAACTGCACGGACTTAAAATATATCGTGTGTATGGTTTGCTTTCGAACATATTTATTCTGAATTTTCTGGATTACAGTTTTAATATTTTTAATTTATACAAAAGAATTCGAAGATGGCCACTTTTCCTAAGTATTAAGAATAATATTAAAATTTGTGAGAATGCAAGGATGTGTCAATCAAACTCGTCTAAAACTTTAAAGTTTGAATAACTTTTAGATGAAATAAGATTTTTTATTTATTTTTGTGTGAAATGCTATTAATCTATAGAAGTCGTAATATTATACAGTAAATATTAATTTCAAATCTGTTTCCATGCACCTTTAAGTATCTTCCACAAAGGATGAGAAACTACGGAAGCCCGTTGTGGCCAGTTCAGAGAAAGAAATATTTTTTTATTGCGTTTAATCGCATAAATTCTTGTGTTTAACGGCAAAACATTGCTTTTTGTCGTAATAATTCTTGCGTTTAAAGACCCAATTTTTTTACCGTACGGTTACCTGAGGTGGGGTAGTGGTCTATGTAAGAGTGATGCTATTTACCTGGAGACCCCTAATACCCAAGATGTCAAAAATCTCTGTACACGTAGTAAATACACAGGAAGTCTATGTTTGTTAATCAGGGACAACATAACGTCTTTCGTGTCAGATTTTGAGTGAAACTACAAACTTAATTTAATTTGATTTTTTCAATATAAAATGTATTTGTAAACTAAGCACATTCATTGTTACCTTTGTAAGGTAAGAAATATCAAAAAATATCTCATTTATAATTTTGTTTGTCAAAATAAAGAAATGGTCACGAGTAAAAAAGGAATCATATCTTTATATTTTTTTAAATCTCCAATAAAAGATATCACCATGATCTAATAAGTGTGGATATTTAAATTCAAAAAATCCATTTATCCGTCGTGTGAACATTTACCACGATCGGAATATTTTTTTATCTTCTGGCACAATATTGCCCAAGATATTCAATATTTCTCAGTGTTTGTGTGCTAACAAAAATGTATTGTTTGAAATATTTCCTTTTAAGAACCGCAAAGAACGATCTCTGTTCGTTAACTTCAACTTTTCATTACGAATTTACACAGATGTCAGAGAAAATTCGAGCAAGAATTCCATCATTTCTTTACAACATCACCTATTAACATTGCATAGATTGTATCCCTTATACGGAGATAAAACATCGTTTGTAAACCATGCTGTTAGTGCTGAATATTTTATATATCCTATCAATTATATCCCGCTTTTTATTAAAATTTTAACAGATTTTAATAGTAAATTGCACTTTCAATATTAGGGCAAGTAAATTTTGAAATAGTTTCTTTGGACGGCTTTAATTCTATAGCTATCTCGGACGACATATTCTTACAAATGAGGATTAAAAGCAAATATTTTATTCAGTCAATCTTTAATCAAATTATCTCCCCTCAATTATTTTTTTTTTACCTAAAATTACCAACATAACTGGTTATTTAACCCCCTGTGTATACCGGGCGGGAACATGAAAGTGTTCGACGCCTGACCGGGCAGTTGTCTTCAAAACATGCAAACTCAGATTATCAGGTAGCACAGGTAGACGGCCTGTCAATCAAAATAAACATTAAATTGGGTGTTTAAAGAGAAAATATTGCAATTTCGCAAAAATTATTGCCTTTAAATTAATGCAAAGTTCTTTGCGCGTAAATGCAATAATTTTTTAGTTTAAACGCAATTATATTTTGCGTTTTATCGCAATAATTTTTGCCCTTAACGCAATAATATTGCGATTAAACGCAATAATGTTGTGTTTAATCGCAAAACTGTATACAGGGTTATTTTCGCCCCATGTTATTTTCGCCCTTTCACACTGGCAAACAATTTTGCCCCGTTTTAAATTCGCCCAGTCATAGTACTGGTTAAGAAATTATACTGTATTATTTGAGTTCGCCCCGTTTCAAATTCGTCCAAATCAGGGTAGGGCGAAAGGGGTGAAAGAAATCGTGAGCAACATTTCCCTCTACACAGTATTATCGCGATTACTTGCAATTATAATATTTTGTTAAATCGCAATAATATTGCTTTTAATCGCAATTTTTTTTGGCATTTAGACACAATAATTTTTTGCACTTAAACGCAATAATGTATATTTTTTTTAATGAAGCCTTTAATCAATTTCTTACGCATCACAGATAATTAAGAATGTTCAGCGGTATTAATAGACATCAATTTTGTAGTACATATGCAATCTGTTTTTATCTGATTTTAATTTTGATTTCATATGATTCTCATAAGTTCTCGTGTTCTTGTGTTTGCTGTATGTGATCACAGGAAAGGTTGTGAATATCATATACCTGATATGTACATCTGCATAAGTCTAAACATTTCATTAGTCGTGATGGGTTTTTTCTCCACTATTTTACTTCTTCAGTCTTTTATTTCAAAAATCCTTTAAACTTTTTTGCATAGTTTCAAAGTGTAAAGGTAGAAGGAAACAACAAGATAGGAATTTAATTTTGATTTTGTAAGAGAATATATATATCTATAGAAACTAAAGCTATGTTTCGTTCTTAGGTTGTCTTTCTTTTTAAAGACTGACAATTCTTCCTCCTCTTTAAATAAACACCTATGATTTAATCATTCAGAAAATGCTTGTTCAGAAGAATCTTATGCTATAAAGCTAAACAATACACAATTCTCTTAATAAGTTACTGTACAGGAAAGAAAGAAAAAAAATATCAGTATGCGTAGGTTCATTGCACTATTCAAATATCAATATAAATGATTGCTTTTAAAAACAAAGATTATTGCGTTAAAACTCAATTAAAAGAGAATTGCGTTGAAACGCAAAAACATATTGCGGTTAAATGCTACAAAATATTGCTTTTAATTGTAATATTATAAATATTGCGTTTATAATTGCAAAAGTATTGCGTTCAAAAGCAATAGTATTGCGTTTAAACACAGAGATTATTGCGATTAAACCCAAAAATTATATTGCTTTTAAACGAATTATAGCGATTAATCGCATAGCACTTTGCGTTTAAACGCAATTATTTTTTGCGATTAATCGCAATCTTTTGCGTTTACAAGCAATAATTATTGCGAATAAATGCAGTCTTTTGCCAAAAATTATTGCAATTAAGCACAAAATAAAAAAAAAATATCCGTTTCATTTAACTGTCCACAATCGGCTTTCGAAAGAAACAAAATAAAAGAGAAACAAAATAAAACAGATAAAACATACGTTTTTATATTCTATGAATAATTTTTTCAAACTCAGTTAAAGATATTGAAAAAGTATTTTTATGCATAAAATGTCATATATTTCTAAGTGCATTTTGAGACTTAATGATTGAATGCGCAGATTTATTCTTTAGTTGAGTTTGCATGTTAATTCTGTTTTACTTTCTAATTAAAATTTCGGTTAATAAGAAAACCCTCGTCTTCCTTTTTGTTAAACTATTGCTGATAGAATTAAATCCCTCCTTGAGCTTAGAACTCGTCCATGTAGGTTATTTTGATATAAAGTTTATCATAATGTAAAATAATATATCATACCACAACTCAGATTTTTTGTCCAGTTACCATTTGTAGAACATCCGAGCATTCCAGAACCCTTTTTCTTGAAAATATATTTGTGACACTGTAGATGTATCTGTCTGTATATTCCTATTGCGTCCCATCTTTCCAAACTATTCGAGTCAGAGCCATATACAAACGGAGGCATTCCACAGTCTGTTTACATTCAAAAATAATTTAGATTTTAGCGGTGCATAAGTTTTTTTTTGTTATGATACATTTTTCAATATTGTATATGTGTACTTAAAGAAAAGATTACTTCATATTTTAGGCTACTTTTGCACGGATAAAGTTGCGTTATTTGATTAATACCACAGCAAAATCATTTGATATACATGTACAATGTACATGTATGGCACGGGCATGTTTAGCATTTATTCATGATAACGAACAATATCATTTTCGTTGATTGCGCGACATTTTGAATGCGCCAAATTATGAAATGTACATTATTCTATTGATTATCCCCTCGCAGTGTGATTTGAATGAATATATAATGATTCCCTTGTGTGTGGAAGGTTAAGAGGGTTTAACTGTGAATGGGGTGTTGGATAACTTTGTTCTGTGAGAAATGGAAGTGACAGTATCTGCATAAGAAGCAATATCCGTCTTGCATCAGAATCAATGTCAAAGGTTATCTTCATCTTTTGATAACTCTTTTAATTGGAATGCTCCCTTTTGTGTTGTTCTTGTCCATTTTTTTTTCTTTAGATTGATTTTAGGTGTCCATAATTCAAATGTATAATTAATTATAAAACGAATATTCTCTTAATTCTTATGATATTCTGACAAGTCAGACAACTATTAAATATTTGCAAAGATCTCGATAAAGCCAATTACTATCCAGGTTTATGGATAAATATAGAAATAATATACTGCGACCCGTATACAGGCACAAAAAGTTCATTTATTCTAATAACCTATTGCTGGCCAATAAGGCCTATGATTTTGTGGGTAAAAATACCTGAAAAGAATTCGCAACAAACAAACTGACCTGATAGTATACACTTATGATTTCCAAGGGAAAGTGGAATGCATTTTTCATTTTCTTCGCACTTTGCTTCTGAACAAAATCCTGTTGTTTTCTGTAAGACATAAAATATTAAGTGAGTCATGAATTCCCAATATCTATTTTTTGCATTCATTGAAATAAACTACGGTAGCTCGTAGGCAAGCGGGAGTTAAAATATTATTTTTATTGATTGCAAATATCAAACTTTTTTGTTGTTGTTGTTTTATAATTTTGTGATTCTAAAATACTTTTTCTGATAATTAAAATCCTGCGTGAACATGTCCTTCTTTATAAAAGTTTGTTTTTGATTTTTTTTTTTTTTTTGTTATACCAGTATTCACAATATGTTAAAAATAAAAATGCGTTAATATATAAAGCAAAAATATGCTTTTCTTATTCATTTAATAACTGTTAAGAAGCAAAAATATTTTCTATGAATTTGTTATTTCGTTGCATCGGAATTGAGGAATATATATGTATATTGTTTAACAGTCCTTTGTGCGAAAGGGTGTTGATAAGTTGCACGGGTATCGATAATGAATTCTGCTTTGTATTTAAATATGCTCTTTGCAAGGGGATATCGATGTTCTAACTCATTGCATCCTTAGTACACATGTTTGTACGCTTGTGTAATCGTATCTAATTCGATTTTGTAAACTTTAAATAAATTTTCAATCAGTGTGCCAGCCTTTTGAATCCAGTTAGAGAATTGGATGATAGTCAAAATAAAGTCAGCTCAGCTGATATTTAAAACCAATCATTAAAGTTTTGGGAATCAACATTTAACGAGCCAAAAAAAAGTTTCCGATCTTTTTAAAAGCATATATTATCTGCTTATATCCATAGCAACGCTCTATTTAAAGAATCTGTATTTCATGGAAAAATTAGGACCCCACCAATACCTTTAAAAATTTACCGTCAGTTATAAGGAATGTGCTTTTGTAAAAGATAGGATCATATTAAAACAAACAGGTTGTAAATTTGACGATTCTCTATGGTAATAAATGTTGGCAACCCATTACCAACCAAAATGGAATGTAACAATTTGTTCTTGATATATGGTTCTTGATTCTTTTCTTATTTGGTTTATTTGGATTATTTGGTCACATTTTATCCTTTAATTGTATTTTATTCTAACGTGTATGACTTCAATTCAATGAATAATTCTTTTGACTTTGAATAATTTGTCACCATAGTAACTTATGTAATAGTTAATTTACTAAGCATATTTAAATTGCATTTAAGACATCCGGCATCTTACGTCAGGAAACAATTGTGGTCAATTCCTTGCTTTGTCGCATATGTTAACTATTGGGCTATAAACATGTTTAAAAATGCCATTTAAAACTTTATATACATGTAGCATATGGCAACCAATTTCTGCCCTAATTTAGTTAAGGGTATCAAAGACTTTTATCATAGAGAATTTAGAGAAATTCTTATACAATGCATTGCACAGCTCTGCGTAGAATTGTAAGTCATTACAGAGAATGTATCTTAATTTCCAAACACTAGATTTCTTGTAATAATACGTTTCAAAAATTTCTATCCAAGATCATGATAAAGAGGATACTGTAGAATAAGATGAAATTTGTTTTTCACAGTATTCAAAGAGAACATTTAACATATTTTTTTTTACTATTTTCATTCGCGTGTATACCATTTTCTACAATTAAATTAATTTGATAGTAATTTACGGAAAAAAAAACCTCTATTCGAGATTTTATAACACGCTGTAAAGTTAAATATTATATAATTCCCTAACATTTATTCAATAAAGTGAAACTGACTAGTTTTATTTGAGAATTTTTTGATAAATAATAAAATATATTTACAGGATCCCAATGTTCTCGCTCGCCGTAGATCCACCCCTTGTCTTCTTTGTATTTTTCGTGGGCAGTAGTTTCATTTTCATAACTGATTTCACAATAATTGGCTCCTTTGTAATAACTCACAGATTTACATCGCGTGGTTCTTAAACATTCTTCTACACAGTCTAGTATGCTATACTCGGTATAGGAATCAATCATCTTTCTGTCCAATCTGTAACCGAATCTCAATTTTGAATAACTGTCTTGTAAATTTCCTGATATAAGTAAGAATGTATCTAAAAGGAAAACGAAATTCTGTATGATTTTCATATTTTTGGGCCTATTCGGTTTTGAACTATGAATAAACTCATCCCTATGTAGTTTCTGCCGAAGAAGGCAACTAAAAGGTAAATAAATATTTAATTCATGATTGACATGCTTATTGCAGTATACCTATCAATAGTCACGGTATTTAAAATACCTTGTGAGAATTGCAGACAGTTCTATTAATTGAAGCAACGCCATTGTATTTTTTTAGGAATATTTTGTTCATCGTTCGTGATAGGTACGCATTTAATAGAAACCAATCAAACTAAAGACCATCGTTTACCTGTCTATTTTTTTTTTTTTTTTTTTTTTTTTTTTTTTTTGTAAATGGGAAAAGATTTTTGTTTGTTTATCTACACTGAGACCATACAATGGTATATGAGGTACAGGAACATATTTACATATATACAAAATAAAAAGTTGGAGGGTTAGGTTGGGGTTGGGAAATGAATGATAATAAAAACAAAATTGTTGACTACTTTGCAGAATCTACCATGACTTTTTTTGTATAATGACTTGTAAATTGTTATTAAATAAATGTTTTAAAATAATCTTATTTTATATATAAAGTAATATGTTTTTAATCTGTAAAATGTTGACGTTTTATCTTTTAAAAATATACGTCTATCGCATATATTCATTTATTTATGCATCATACGAGGATTGATCGAAAGTGCATCGACTATCATAACTGCTTTAAGGACGGATGATACAAACAAATATTTGTCAAAAAATTTGAAAATAACAATTTTGGTCATGTTTACATGAGTAAAATGAATACGTTTCACCGTGTAGTTTTTAATTTTTTATTCAACATTTCACAAAAATGGGAATTGAAGTGAAAATTATATTATTTTTTTAGATCAGTATGGATGGTTACAGAAGGGAGGACTTTTGAACATCGCAGAAGGTTTACAAATTCTTTAATTCTTTAAATCTATTGTTTGCATCATTTGTAATAAAATTAGACCATAAAATATATACCAATCCAGACATCTATTTTTTGTATCATCTGTCCTTAAAAATAAAATGAATTGTAGTTGATTGTTTGTTTGTTTCTTGAAATGTAACTTTACATTTAATTAGTGGAAGGAATGCAAAACCCAAATTCAAAATTCAAGCATACTTTGAATATTGAGGGAAAAGGATAAAAACGTTCAAGTTATTCGTATGAAAATTGATCAAAAAAAATTCTCAACTGCTTCCCGTAAAAGCTTTTAAGGTCTTTGAAAATTGAAAGAGAATGGGCAGAAAAACAAACGACAATAAATTGATCTAGTTTCAATTTCCTATTACTAAATCATGATTTACCTGTCTATTATTAGAAAAATGTACACTTCACTTTCAATAGAACAATAAACTGCGTAGGAAAACTTAGAACTCCTGCATAAATAAAAGTGTGACACGAGCTGTATTTCAATTTAATGGCTTTTGTTGAAGAAGTCTAGGGAAATCATTAAATTTCTGGTGAAAGTGAGATGAGGAAAGGTTTATTAACTATGTGTCAAATCGATGATCATAGAGTTACATCATAATGAATTTCCTTTTATCGCCTGTGAAGATATTTTATGGTATTTTCATAGAAAAAAATGTACTTTTTTCATATCTCAACAATTGTATAAAAAATATGGAGAAAGAACTTTCCAGTTGTCATCGAAGTCAAACTTGCCCTTTATTGATAAACATTTATTGTTCCTGCAAAGATTGCTTTCACTTAAAGTTCGGACTTAATTGGGTATATCTAAAAATGCATGCATTTTAAAAATATTTTTCTCAATTAATATTTTTTTTTAACTTGATATCAAGATACTTTTTATCTGTTGATGAGTGATATGTTTATTAACTGTAAGTAAAATTTTTGACTTTGTAAACAACATACCTTTGGTGGCATCGTAAAAATAAACATTTGAACATGTTGACCTTTGGTTAACCCTTAAATTATGCTAGATGACCTCTTACATGTAGAGTAGGGTTACTATGGTACATGTACTTATATAATTATAACATTATTTGATATGAAGGCGGCACCTAAAATACATGTGTAGTGTACAATATACACTCCACTGTACCAAACCAGTTAATGAATAAATAGATTTTGATTATTTTTCGTTTAATTTATCAAAAATATGTTAATACGATCGATATGTATGTTCTGAAAGAGACCAGAACAATATATGATCGATCTTTTGTTTCCCAAGTGTTTAAAAAAATTCCTCTTTCTAAACAATACATTCAATTTTTTTTAATTTGTCGCTGGTAAATCATTTAAAATTGGTTATCGTTTATTGCTCGAATTTTTATACCAAAAAGGCAACAAAACAAAAATAGAAAATAATTACAGGTGTATTCATCTTTCGTGAGCCATTTGCTCGATTGATTAGCACCGTGTTCGCAATATCTCAATATCCGGACAAATAAAAGACATTCTATATCTAGATTTTAAAAAAAGTTGAATTTCCATAAATTCCAAACTTTATCAAAAAGGACTTAAAATTTATACAAGACTTTCTCTTTGAAATCAAGCAATTTTTGTTCGTAGGTTAAATTAGAGAAAGAAGGATCATTCAGATTTCAGAGAGAATATATTAGCATTTGTAGTCAATTTATATGGCGCGATTTTTAAAGGGAGACCTTCTTCAATAGTGTGTCAGTTAGAAGGGGAGACTTCATGTGAACATAATTTCCTACAAATTATCATTCGGGAATCAAATGTTTAGTAGGAAACCAACAAAGATGTCCACGGGAGTTCAAACTTTGAACAAGGTTTGAACATTCACTCGATCATTGTCTTTTTCTATTTGTTTTGATGCGCATGGTTGAAGGAAAAGTACAATTGTTGGAAACCAGTATTTTAAGTGCAATATGAGCTGCATTTTTGAGAAATTAACATTTTTGAAAGGCTCTCCGTGGAACTTTTTAAGGAGCTGATCTTGTCGTTGTTTAAGAAAGTGGCAGAAGAAATTCCAATCGTACACGCACTTTTAGACGCACTGAATTTCTTTAATAATGAAATTGCTTCTTCGGTGTGCAGAACCTCTGGGTTTATGGTCGACCGAATTGCCGACAAGCGTGATTTTGAATCGTTATATTTCAAGAATTATTTCAGTAGGTTAACATGGATGGAGAAATTATTGCATTTTGGTGAATATTTGGTAACATTAGTAGAGAAGGATTGGGGAAGATTTTATAGTGAATTAAAAGGGGACATAGAGGGATTTCTTAATTAGTTAAAAATGTTTATTTCTTTTTATCAGAGAATGAAATTCTTTTCGGAGATTGCTTTCAAGGCTGAATAGTTTTCTATCCCCCCACCCCCGGCTTCGAATTTCAACAAATATACACGATTAGCCAATATTGAACCCTTGTTCATATGTAAATATGGCGTCAAAAAGGAATTAAAATTTGGACTTATTATCTAAGTTATTAAAGATAAATTGAACATCTTAATGTACAGATTAAATACATTTTATTTGGATTTATATGTAATTTATATTCAAGTTTTTTTTTATGTAAGCGTATATTTATATTTGTTTATAGTAGGTGTTTGTTATTTAATGCATACACATTCTCTCTTAAGTCGAGCATGAGTTTTGCTTCCATTGCTAAATAATTATTCCATAAGATATCACGATTTTTTCTGAGCGCTAATAAAATGCATCCGAATTCTTGATGCAATAGGTTTACACCATATGTATTTCAATGTTTAAATAAGTCTTTTTTCATTCTTTTTGTTTGTTTTCAAAATATGTTGTAGTCTTGCAAACCATTTTTTGCTTTTCCTGTATCAACTTACCCGTTGATGGTCATTGTAAACTTTAATGGGGGTTTGATCCAGTCAGATATAGCAAGGGACATGGCTATAAATAATAACATTTTTCTTTAAATATCTGGGTTTTTTTGTTTTAACAATCATTAAAATACGTGAATGCTCTTTGACATAGTTCGTTGATCTTTTCTTTCTCGCGTGCGGGCAACATTAATTTTTTCTCTTAATGTGTAACTTTATGTGTATTGTTACTTTTCTCTACAACAGAGTGTTTTGTTTTAATATCATTTTACTATGGTCTTTTTCATCATTTCATGTTTCATGTCTACATGCTCTCAAATTATTCTGAACATATTTATGCCCATCGTCATTGTAATTTATAAAACATTTAAAGATTAAAGCTGTCTATATTATATCTGAAATGTTTAGATAGTGTGTTGTTATAATTAGGCAATAAATGGTATGAAAAATGCTCCTAATTTTTATTGTCTCTTTTTAATTAGCTCTCTGAGCTAAAAGTTCCAATAAACTCTTCTGACCATATTTTGTTTAACGTCTGTCTGTCCGCTTGTTTTCCCGTTTCAATTTAAATATTCATATTTTCGACTTTGACTATAAGTTCATAGACAAGTATTGGTTAAGCTTCTATATAACTTCACTGTATGGTCTAGAATCAAGGCAATGATTAATTACTTGTTCTACATCAAAAGCACAATACGTTGCAGTGGTTAGAGAAAGGAGTGATCGAGTTCAAATCCACTGCGAGATGTGAAGACAGCTAGGTTCTTCCCTTGGGTAGATACAGGATTTGTGATTTGCAGGGGGGAGGGGGGTTAAAGTTGAGGCAAGCCTTGGAGCCGCCTAATTAAGGCCTCAAGTTGGTCCAGGGCGAAGCCCTGTATGCTGGGGATCTAGGAGGCGAAATCCCCGGAAGCTCCTAGGATTTTGTGTATTTTAAGAGTACATCCAGGTACATAATGGTGTGTATTTTTCATTTGGGCGGGTTTTTGAATATTTATTATATTGAATGTTTTCATTGCATTGTTTTAGCTCATGCCAATATAATGAATGATTTACTTACTTACTTATAGTGTTATTGGTTACAGGTGTGAAATGTAAATCCGTATTGGGATTCGGCTTCGCCTCGCCCAATACGGATATCCATTTCACATCCTGTATGACTCCGTATTAGGTCCATAGCTGACTGTTTAACTGATTTTATACAGCTTCAGACAAATTTGTAGATTACTGATTGGATAAAAGCTTATCACATGACGCCCAAGAATTTTCCGAATAACGCTGTCGTCAAGGAGTAATATAAAAATTGCGCAAGCGATTACGTTGCTAATGTAAATAAAAATGACGGTTCAGAAACGGTTTGCGTAGGTAGTTTGGTTAAATTTCTTGTTACGATATTTTATGCTGATTGTTTTTGGATTAAACTTGCACGAATATTTTTTTTTCATATTTAAAAAGGTCTTCAGCGTGATAAATTACAGTCAGTTAGGAACGTAATACGGAGTCATACAGGGTGTGAAATTCGCCTCGCCCATTACGGATATCCATTTCACACACTCTATGACACCGTATTAGGTCCCTAACAGTGTGACTAATAATATACTTTAAACAAAGTAATAGTTAAAGAACATATTTTCATAATACCAAAAGCGTAAAAAGTTTGCTAGATAAAAAACAAGCACAGCAAGCCCTAACGACGACGCATGAGCGAAGGGGAAATACCACTGCACATTCGTTCTTTTGAATTTTTTCCGGAGAAACTTTGAACCCACAATGCGTTGTTTCGTAAAACCACGTTCTCGTGAGAATAACAACAAAAAAGTAAAGCAGACAAATGGTCGATAAAACGGTTCTTCATTCAAATCAGCAGTTGTCAGGCTTCGATTTGGTAATTAATGCAGCATAATAATACGATGTTATTTGACATCAGAGTTTAGACGCACTAAATACCACTTGTTGTTTGACGAGTTCGATCTAAATTAAAACTGAATAAGTATTTTCGCTCGTCCTAACGGTTACATCCTCCACATATAATAATTTAACGATTAAATTGGTATTGCAAGCACAAAATGACATTTAGGGCGATTATATGCTATATGAATTTAATATATATTCCAATTCCATTGTAATGATTTATTGTACAAAGTTTATTTCAAAGAGATGAAGCTTTGCTAACTTCGTTGCATACATTATACTTCTGCACGTTTGGTTAAATCGAATTTCTTCTGATGTGGCATCGAACCTCATTCATTACATCTAAGAAAGAGGAATCACACTCACAAATAGGGGCATAGCGAAGATCTTCAACACTATATTTAGCTCCTCGTTCGACTAACAATTCAATCTTTTTAATTCGCTGTGTTGCTACGAGCCACTTATCTACAAAAAGGGATAACAATGACACCTTATGCGCATTATCTCGGGATCCTTCATATATAGCTAGCTCATCATTTGGATCTAATCCAAGGTCTAATAGGTGACGGAGATGTCGTGCGTCTTTATCAATGATATGTTCCATCACTTCTCCTTCTTTCCTTACAAGAAAACCAAATCTTTTTCTAGGTACAATGTCGTCAAACTCGTTCAGATAAAAATCTGCTCCATTAAAACTTTTCAAAATTTCAAAAAGATGATAGTTTCCACTTAAGTTTTCTTTCGAATTCTCAGCACCAACCAAACATCTTGCAATTTCAGGTTTGTTTTCCAAAACTGCTTTCATGAGAGATGTAAAACCTTCTTCCGTTTTCATTTTTAAGTTTGCTCCCGCTGTAATTAACAATTTGACGACTTCAAGGTGTCCATTTTTTGATGCTATATAGACAGGAAAATACTTGTATTTATTTATTCGCACATTATGTTTTGCTCCTGCGCAGATCAGAGAGAACACAACTGCAAGTATACCCTGTACCGATGCGACATACAGTGGAGTTCTTCTGTCGCGATCTTCTTCGTTGACGTTTGCTCCATGCTTAATAAGCAAGAGGGCAACTTCAACAGAACTCTTTGATACTATCTCAAGCAGAGAGATGTTTTTTGCTAAATATGTACATTTTTCCTTTGGACAGGTAATTAGCAACTCTTTTAAAATTGTGAAATTGCCTGATTCAGCAGCGTGGACAAGTGGCGTTAAATCTGATTCCATATTTTTGCATATTTTGAATTGCCTGATAAGATCTTTTGCGATGTCAAGGTTTTCTTCACTCATAGCAACATTAAGCGCTGAAATACCATCGGAACCTGCACCGGCTTCCACTAAAGCCTTTACTACCTCTTGATGACCACGTTTGATAGCAATCATTAAAGATGAAGTTTTATAGTGATTTTGTTGATCACTACATTTCAAGCTATTTAGGAGATATTTGACAGATGATAAATTTCCAGATTTCGACGCCATCAGCATTAGATTCCCAACGTCTGATTTACCATTTTCCATACACAAATCGAGCAACTCTATATTTGGTGGTTCTTCCGAATGCATCAATTCAGATTTACTTTTGGATGATTTTCTCGCTAGGAGAAATTTGATCAGTACAATATTCTTCGATTTTAAAGCTGCGCATAAAGGAGACTCATTGAAAGCATTGACTTGGTTGACACCCGCTCCTGCTTCCACTAAAAGTTTAACCACTGGGAAGTGTCCGCGTCGACAAGCAGCAGTTAAAGGAGTATCTGCATGGTAAACATCAGAGGTACAGTATCGCTTTGAATGTTGATCTATATGTTCAGCTTTCAAATTTGAAAGCAGCAGCTTCACCATTTCTTCACTGCCTCCATAACACGCAAGAACCATTAATCTGCTTGCTTCCTTTTCTGCCTCAGGAGTTGGATTTCCCATGACCAGAGCTTCCCTGACATCCATGCCATTTTCTTTGGCAACCTTCAAAATATATTCTAAAATCTCAGTGTGACCGTGATAGATAACCCAAGAAATAATGCGAATATTTTGTGTCCATTCCTCATATTCTCTCGTGCGATCAGCAAGTAACATGTCTTCTGTAATGTCACGTGATGCTGTCAGGAATATCTTTTGATAAGACTTATTTGAATGACACCATGACAGGTGTCCTTGAAATGCACCAGGAACAACCTTTTGAAAAGAGGTCTGAGGTGACAAGAAAGTATTCTTGATTTCTTCGAAAGATTTTTTTTCAAGTAAACTCATGAACTTTTCAAGAATTGCCTTATTACACAACAGCTTACTCTGAAATGCTGAATGCAGATCTCCCATGTCTCTGCTTGAAGTCAGACGACTCCAAACTGCAGTGCAACTGTTATTTTCTATAACAGAGATAGGATTGTCTAACTTTTGGTGGTGTTTGGTCCAATCCATGTGCATTTCTAGCCATCTTTGAATAAAGCAATAGCTCATGTTCGATAAGAGCATGGCAGGGAAGTCGCGTCCATAGTGAAGCGCTATTTCTTCAGCAAGTATGGTATGGATTATAACATAGGAAGAATTGTCATTAATCATTACGAACTTTCCTAATTGTTCAGATAGTATCTTTTCAACTTCTTTAGAATATACTTTTTGGTTGACATTGATATCATGAAAAATTTGATATTTTTCATTCACCAATTCTTCTAATTTTTCTGGCATTAATCCATTTTTACTTAGTACACATAAGACAAGAACTGCATACTGTAAACTGCATTCTCTTTTCATGGAATCTAAGATATACGATATATACATTCACGCCAATGTATAAAGAACGTGGAATGAAAATCTTGAATCTTATATATTCTGCTGAAAAGATTACAGAGAACTGAATAATGTTCAATATTTTGAATCAGAGACAATTTCTCTGAGAGAACTCTTGATTTTGTTTGGTCTTTAAGATGCCTAACAAGAATTAGTTCTCTTTCCTCCAGGTTTATTTGATACTCTTCACTGTCTAAATCAACAACAGACTCAGCATGAAAAACAAAACCATTCGATTTCATAAGTTGATAAGTTTCTTTGTCACATGTCATGATAAGTTTTGATTTCTCGCCAAGAGCATAGTTGATGCTCGGCTCTAAGTTATCCAACTTCTCCATATCTTTTCTTTCCATGGTCAACTTGTTAAAAAAATTATCAAGGGTGAAAAGTTGAATATCATCGTGATTTCCAAAATTTATTATATCAATTGGATCTGATACAGATATTACTTCATAATCGTCTTGAAGTAGGAGTGCAATATGTCGCATGGTTGCGGTTTTACCCGAGTTGCACGATCCCATTATGATGCATATCTGATTTTCTCTCACTTTCTTGATGATAGATGGAAAGGAGGATATTTCAACAAACACTTGATCATCTGGTAACCATCCCTGTAAAACTTGTTTATTTCTTTCTGTAAGAGATAAAATGTCCTTTATTTGCTGTTAAAGTTTTCATTGCTAAACATTATTCAAACGAAAGTATTTAACAAGGAAATTAAGTGATATATTTTATAATTATCATAAGAAGTATGAAAAGTTTTGTAATATTATAAACGCATTGTCAAAAAGTTACAAAATATTATAATTATTTCAAAAGCCCCTTTTTTAAAAAAAAGAAGTTGTTATTTTGTGCTCTGAATATAAGGTACGTATGTTTACCATTTCTAAAAATGCATAAATAACGAAAAAGACATATGAGTAGCGTAAAATATTTCGTGCATGTATTTGTTTTATGAGACAAGATGGCCAGTGCAGCTTTAGAGAGAGAGGAGAGAGAGAGATAAAGTTCTAAGTAATGTTTGAATTTTATATAAATACACACCTCTGTCCTTGTATTTTTGTTGAAGAGATCGATGTCGTTTTAGAACGAGTTCTCCTTTATTAAATTCTAAATAAACAATAAGTTTATACAGCTAGTAAGCTTATTTTGATGCTCTACCGAGAACATAATATAATGGTACTTTTTTAATTTAGATTGGGGAAAATGCTAAAAATTTATTAAAAATTGTCCAATAAGATATTTTAACAATAAACGGGAAAAGATGAATACTTACTTTGACCGTACCAGGGTGGTGTACATTCCCTATTGAAAGGTTCCATATTGTTGATGTTCACTCGATTCAATGCTGCAACAAAAGAAAGAAACTCATCAAGAGTATCGTTTTTCATGCATGATCACGCATGTGAATCGATGTTCCTATTAAATTCAATAGATTTATTTGCTTCTAAAAGGTAATAGGAGATACCTAATACTGAGGTTAGTATATTTACATGTACCTACTTTTGGGCATTACATTAGTTCTTTTAACTATTGCCCGTGCGGCGCAGTTGTTAGAGCGTCTGCTCTAGAGTCGCGAAGTAAGGAGTCAATCCTTACGTCACGGGTTCAAATCCTACTCTAGGACGTGGAGAGGGATTCTTCGGATAAGAGCGTATAAACCGAGGTCTGTATCGCAGAATGTGCTGGCACAAAAAAGATCACACCCTGCTCAATGGCCCTGAGTGCCGAGTATAGGACACAATTTACAGCTCTCCACCTGCAAGTGGTGGCGTCCCCATATGAGTGAAAAATTCTCTAGAGGGACGTTAAACAATATACAATCAATCAATAATTCTAATAACTTGTCTGCAGGATTTTGTTGTGTCTTCTTTATTCTGGTTTTAAGTAAACGAAAATGCTTTTTAATTCAGGCACTCTAACTACCCTTAAAATGAAGTAGCAATAACAATATGCCAGGGTGTGGGGGCCTACATAGGTTTATTTTTGTATTAATGAGTTTTGATATCAATATTGCATTTTGTTTGGCCAGATTTTTATTCTTTTCCTAAATTCTTGACATAAGTAACATGAAATCCTTATTTAAAAAGTTCAATACTTAACAAAGATTTTAAAACACCTTATATTGTTTTCAAATTAAATTACACATGTAGAATATTCTACTAAAGTGGTCAACAACAAAGAGGACTTCAACTTACAGAAAGGAGCATTCAACTTTGTACTACTCCCCAAAAAATATTGGGATTTTCAATAGTCATCAACTTCACATTTATTTTAGGAAAATCGAACAATGATCACTTAATGAATGAACAATGATAGGAAGATCATGAGTTCAGACTCCGATGGCAACTGATATAAATCGATAAAAAAGGCTAGCATCTGTTTCTTCTCCATGCGCTCGGCAATTTGAAGTGGAGGTTGTGGGTTATTTAGATGAGACATTAGACAACAAGGCATCGTGTTGGAACTATAAAGATTTTTCGCTGCTCAAAGACTATATGGTTCCAAAGGAAAGGTCTAAATTTGACCCCTTCATGGGTAAACGGCGGCCTCTATATAAATGAGAAATTTACGAATGGTACGTTAAACAGCAAACAGGAAAAGGAAGATGAAACAGCATACAAGGAAAGGAAGACTGCGCTTAAGGATCTGCGATAAATGGTGAAAATAAACTTTCAAAAGACACATTTTTCTCTTCATTGCTGAAATTATCAACATGTAATCTGCATCTTTACTTAATCAAATAAATAAATGTACGAATTTACTATGCACGAATCCATTTTCTTCAATCTCCGTACGACAAAGAGAACGTTTACATTTACAATGTATACTGACTTAAAGGATAGTCAGCGCAAGTCTGTCTATTTTACTCCTTGTACATTGCAAAAGAAACATTATGTTTAAAGACGATAAATAGAAGAAAAAACATACTCTCATGGTTTAAAAGAGAAAAATTCGGGTAATTTTATGAACACTAAATTCCGTCACGTGGCTTCGTTTTGTGCTAACATGGACACTGTGCTCGAACACGTAAAATAGCCAATTGCGACCATCGATCTAATACAGTACCCGCATCGTTATTCTTTACAATTCTATCGTGTTCTATCGTGCGTGTATCCTATCGTATCGTGCGTGTATCCTATCGTATAGTGTTTTCCGTTTATCGTGTTTTGCGTTTTCTTTCGTGTTTTCCGTTTATCGTATTTTGCGTTTATCGTGTAGATCGTTTATCAGGTTCTATCGTGTATCGTGTTTTGCGTTTATCGTGTATATTCGGAAACCCTCGCTCTTTATCTTTACTATGAAAAGAAACTACTGAGCTATTCCGAGTTTCTTTTTCGTTTTGTTAATAAAAATAAGATCAATTCAACCGAAAAAGAGAAAATAAAGATTTATCCCTTTCTTTTTCATCAATATAAGAAATATTAAAGCGTAGAAGGAATAAAATAATTAATCGCGTATTTCATGAATGAATAAATTGATTTATTAATAAATAATTAATTAAATAAATAAAACAATTATATCATGGTAAAGCAGAGAGTAATTGTCAAAATCTAAACAGTAGCTCTATTTTTCGGAAATGAAATTATAAGTAGATCGATCAACTGGTCTATTTCTTTAACAAATAATTTATCAAATTGTGTGATTTTTTTGTCAAAATAAAATACTATTAATATGATTTTCTCAAATGAATCGGAGTTACCGGAGAAAGATTTTTGGTAAGCTACGATGTTCGCGTAGACAAAAAGCAAATAAATAAATAATAAGCAGGATATTGTTATGCATCTTTTTTCATGCAATATTCTGTTTTTCCTTGTTTATCGTCTGATAACTTTAGAAATATGTTTACGCGTCTGACATGTATGTATGTATGTGTGCACAATTATTTAAAGTCTTGAATTTACAAATATAATATAACATAAGACAATGATCCAGATGATTTTAACAACGATTTTGGCTGTTTACGTTCAAATTTTAAATCTATTTTTTAAAGCTAATTATAAATTCCTTGACATATGTCTAAATTAATAAAAGAAATCAAAATTATAAAATATAATCAATGGAAATATTCTACCCAATTTATCACACCATGACTGTTACTATGAAATAGAAGATTTTCATTAATTTTATCTGGCATTAGATAACATAAAAATAATAAATACATGTACAGGGAAAAACATGAAGTTTTTAAACAGCTTACCTTTTCGGCGTGGAAATAAACTCAAAATATAATCCATCGGGATGCCAAAAATCAAAATAAATTGAAGACCTTTCCTTACAAGAAAACTGACACGTATGTGTAGCTCTCTAATTAGCACACTGTCTTCCTGTGCGGTCAACCACCCCCTCCCCCTTCTCCCCTAACTGACACCTCGGCCCGTGTGTGTGTGATCACCGTCAACATACCTGTACTGATTTCTCACCTAGGGTCAATGAGTAACCTAAGTTTAAAATGATTTTTAAGGTTAAATAATTCATTTGCCGAATTAAGCCTATTTTTCGTTATTATTAGAAAAAGTACACACAGAGTTTAATAGCAATGATTCATAATTATTTAGTCGCAAAAGTTCCATTTCACTTTTTTCACTCTTTTAATATTTGTAAATTAATTTTTCTGTTTTGTATTGTTTACATGTACATAAGTCAGAGCATACCGTAAACGTACATGTGCAGTTATAGCAGATTCATATTCTCATGACACAGTTTACATGTATTAATGCAGATTGCCATTATTTTAATAATTATTTAGATTTCTATTCAGAAAATTGAATTTTCTTCAACTGTTTCGTTCTTGATAGATCTTATTAATTTTGTTAAAGCCATTTTCTTTAAATCTTTCTTTCGGCCAGTCTTCTACTTGTATTATTTTCTAAGATATTGATATTTAATTGCGATTTTTGGATACATTGCAGATTGTAAGCTTTAGACATTAGATACAAATATTTGATTTATTGCGTAAATTTCTTCCATGAAATAACTTCGTACTTGTAGATAAATTTATTAGATAGAAAATTAAAATTTATATTTTTCATAAATAATAAATCTGTTTATAGAGTTTCGAAATTCTCACACTTGAGAAGAAATAAAAAAAAATACAGTCTCCATTTTATAAAAATTCATTTAATCACTGTCAATTTTTTATATATATAAATAAACAACTTTTGTAAAATTAATACAGAGATCTCAGGTTCTTTTTATAATAAGTAAATGTACTTTATAGTTTAGATTTGAAGCTCTGCGAATATTTAAATTAAAATATAATTTAATTTAAATAATCTTTAATCTTTAAATTTAATTCAAAATAATCTTTTTGTCTTGTCAAAAAACGTTCCGCATTTTGAAACAATCCTATCAGGTTTTGCGTTTATCCTATCGTGTAGATCGTTTATCAGGTCTATCGTGTTTTGCGTTTATCGTGTTTTGCGTGTATCGTGTTTTGCGTTTATCGTGTTTTGCGTTTATCCTATCGTGCGTGTATCCTGTCCTATCGTGCGTGTATCCTATCGTATCGTGCGTGTATCCTATCGTATCGTGCGTGTATCCTATCGTATCGTGTATCCTGTAAAGAATAACGATGCGGGTACTGTATATTCTTAACTGACATGGATGGGCTCTACTTTTTCAATTTTCGTATATAATATACTTTTGCCAAATAGATTTAATGGGAAGAAAGAAAAAAAGAGATCTCGTATTTTTTACTACATGTCATTTTTAGCTTTTATTTTTGAGCTTTTCTGATCAAAATTTGTCCGTCGTCTGTCGTTGTCGTCGTTGTTGTCGTTGTCGTCGTTGTTGTAAACTTTTCACATTTTCATCTTCTCCTCAAGAACCACTGGGCCAATTTCAACCAAACTTGGCACAGAGTATCCTTGGGTGAAGGGGATTCAAGTTTGTTCAAATGAAGGGCCACGCCCTTTTCCAAGGGGAGATAATCATGAATTTGTTAAAAATTAATGGCATTTTAAAAAAATCTTCTTCTCCAGAACCGCTGGGCCAGGAAAGATGAAACACATGTGGAAGCATCCTCAGGTAGTGTAGATTCAATTTTGTTCAAATCATGACCCCCGGGGCAAGGGTGGGGCCAAAATGGCCGCCCCTTGTTTTACATAGGAATATATAGGAAAAATCTTTAAAAATCTTCTTCTCCAGAACCACTGGGCCAGGAAAGATGAAACTCAAGTGGAATCATCCTCAGGTAGTGTAAATTCAAGTTTGTTCATATCATGACCCCCGGGGCAAGGGTAGGGCCAAAATGGCCGACCAAAGTTTTACATAGGAATATATGAAAAATCTTTAAAAATCTTCTTCTCAAGAACCACTGGGCCAGGAAAGATAAAACTCATGTAGAATCATCCTCAGGTAGTGTAGATTCAAGTTTGTTCAAATCATGACCCCCGGGGCAAGGGTGGGGCCAAAATAGCCGACCCTTGTTTTACATAGGAATATATAGGAAAAATCTTTAAAAATTTTCTTCTTCAGAACCACGGGGCCAGGAAAGATGAAACTCATGTGGAATCATATTCAGGTAATGCAGATTCAAGTTTGTTCATATCATGACCCCCGGGGCGAGGGTGGGGCCAAAATGGCCGACCAAAGTTTTACTTAGGAATATATAGGAAAAATCTTTAAAAATCTTCTTCTCCAGAACCACTGGGCAAGGAAAGATGAAACTCATGTAGAATCATCCTCAGGTAGTGTAGATTCAAGTTTGTTCAAATCATGACCCCCGGGGCAAGGGTGGGGCCAAAATGGCCGACCCTTGTTTTACATAGGAATATATAGGAAAAATCTTTAAAAATTTTCTTCTTCAGAACCACGGGGCCAGGAAAGATGAAACTCATGTGGAATCATCCTCAGGTAATGCAGATTCAAGTTTGTTCATATCATGACCCCCGGGGCTAGGGTGGGGCCAAAATGGCCGACCCAAGTTTTACAAAGGAATATATAGTAAAAAACTTTAAAAATCTTCTTCAGAACCGCTGGGCCAGGAAAGATGAAACTCATGTGGAATCATCCTCAGGTAGTGTAGATTCAAGTTTGTTCAAATCATGACCCCCGGGGCAAGGGTGAGGCCAAAATGGCCGACCCTTGTTTTCCATAGGAATATAGTAGAAAAATCTTTAAAAATCTTTTTCTCCAGAACCACCGGGCCAGGAAAGATGAAACTCATGTGGAATCATCGTCAGGTAGTGTAGATTCAAGTTTGTTCAAATCATGACCCCCGGGGCAAGGGTGAGGCCAAAATGGCCGACCCTTGTTTTACATAGGAATATATTAGAAAAATCTTTAAAAATCTTCTTCTCCAGAACCACCGGGCCAGGAAAGATGAAACTCATGTGGAATCATCCTCAGGTAGTGTAGATTCAAGTTTGTTCAAATCATGACCCCCGGGGCTAGGGTGGGGCCAAAATGGTCGACCCAAGTTTTACGTAGGGATATATAGGGAAACCTTTTAAAATCTTCTTTTCAAGTACTTCAAAGCTATGATTAGTGATATTTATATTGAATCATCCTCAGGTAGTGTAGATTCTAATTTGTTCAAATGATGAACGCCTGGAGGGGGGGGGGGGATAAATTCAAGCCTGATGTGCTCAGGTGAGCGCTGTGGCCCCTGGGCCTCTTGTTATTCTTAGAATGTTACCTCCGTTTTTCTTACATAAATCATATTCAATTCGTCAGGACAAACAAGAAGAAATAAGTCAAAAATAATTTTGAGTTTTAAATTGGGTGACATAACAGACCACCGTTTTGAAAAGGGAAGGTGAATAGATCAAAGTTAAAGAAGCGCCTGAAAAAGACCAAAAGCACAGCGTTATGTGCAGTCTTTTCAAGCATAAATACACAGTTTACTTAAATGGACTGCATGTTCAACTATTGACCCATAACCGACTGATTATTCATATGAGATCAATGAATACTTCGATTGAAATCTCAAAGATTTTAGTTTTTATTTTCAAATATGCAGCAAATAATTTGTAAAGTATGCTACAATACAAACTTTTTAAAACACTCGTTTTACTTCGGTTTAAATATCAATTGTATGTTACTAAGCTTTTTGAATTGTGTGTTTTTTAACTTGTTTTACGTCCCTCTAGAAATTTTATATGGAGATCCCATCGCTTGGCGCTGAAAATCTACAAATGAATAACTATATTCTGCACCTAGCCGCTAAGCATTGCGAGATATTTGTTCATTCCAACACGCACTGAGACATGGGACCTATGTTTGTACATGTACAGTCTTATCCGAAAAATCCCTCTCAAAGCCTGCAGCGGATTCAAAATCGCGAGAGTCACGTATATTGATACGCTTTTAAAATATAAAACTATGCCAGACATTTTGGTGAAGCTAGTGCGGGTTATCTATTATAAAGTACATATGCATATACTAGTATCTTTTTATTCAATCAAATTGTGCGTTAAATCAAGAATTATATTATTTCATGATAATTTTGCTTATAAGGATAAAAGGATGAAAATGCCCAAATTTGAGTATCAGAGTTCGCAAAGGTTTATCTATTCCGTTACCTTTTAATACTAAATATGTGTTCAAAATTCAATCCCGTATTAAGTAGTTTAAGTTTACTGTATATGCATAAAAATACTCGTATCAAAACAGCCTTAACGAAGAAGGATACATGTAACACCTATTTGCATACATTATTACAACTATATGCTGTAAATTGAAATCATTTTAACTTGTAAATATATATGTCTATATAAACCTACATTCCAGGTTTTGACTTAAACAAATATATGCATGTTAAAGGCTCAGAATGAATGAAATTGTTATACTATAGTTTATACTTAATAAACGTTAAATTTCTTTAACAATGATATTGTAAATATATATATATATATATATATATATATATATATATATATATATATATATATATATATATATATATATATATATATATATATAAAAGAAAAAGAAAATGAAGTTTCCAAATTTCATTTAACACAAGCGCTTTCTGGATTTCATAATCTGTCTTCAGGTGTACATAAATTGAACTGATTGTTTTGCTTAGTAACGTTAACTATGACGTCATGACGTCATGAGAGTCTTTGCAGGGAAGGAAGTAATCTATGACGTCATAGTATGGCTACGTTGCGTAAAAGTTATGGAAATTCAAATTGGACAATAATGGACATTATTGTCCAATTTGAATTTCCCTAACTTTTACGCAACGTAGCAATACTATGACGTCAAAGATTACTTCCTTCCCTGCAAAGACTCTCATGACGTCATGACGTCATAGTTAACGTTACTAAGCAAAACAATCAGTTCAATTTATGTACACCTGAAGACGGATTATGAAATCCAGAAAGCGCTTGTGTTAAATGAAATTTGGAAACTTCATTTTCTTTTTCTTTTATAATTATTTTCACCTGTGTGACATCGACTGTGAACTATTTTCAACTATATATATATATATATATATATATATATATATATATATATATATATATATATATATATATATATATATATATATATATATATATATATATATATATATATATATACCTGTTTTATGTTTCACAATTTAAAATCCTCCTAAAATCCTTGAGGTGAGAGAGTCATAATATAAGGAAACATCTTGCAGTTTGCAATTTCTCTAAAGATTCCTAAAACACCTTTGTTATGTTGATATTCCACGCAGCACCTAGCAGGTAATCTTTACGAAAACAGTGGATTTGAAGGGCATATTTTATTTCTCAAATTAAATCGTCGACAGAGAATCTGTCAGAATATAATTTATCTCGATTTTATCTAAATGTATTCAGTATACTGTGACATAAAAAATACATAACAAAGAACATTGCAGACGATAGAAATGGATACGCCGCAGACGGCTGATTGTAACTTATCCGTATTCATTTTCTCAAGGTGACTTGCTGATAAAAAAAAAAAACAGCTTATCTGCACTGCATGCTTAATCACATATTTTTACCAATTTTTCCAAATTGACACCACTGAGCACTTCTTTTTCTTTATTTATTTTAAACTACTCGATACTTGTGACTGATCAGCACTTAATTGTAAAAAGTTTAGTACAAAAAATGAAAACACTGTATCTAACAGGTCGAGGAAACTATCTTCTGTGACGTCGGAATAAATTTACATGTTAAGTGAGGAACCAACGTGACTGACAAATCGACCAATCAGCTCAATGAGTTGCATTATGGTCTACTACAAAAATACTACACGTGTGTTTCTAAAAGGCCATTTTTTTTAATCGCTCTCGCAAAAACGTGATGCATTTTTCCAGGCATTTTACACACTTAATACAATATGAACATCTTTATCTACTGATTCCATGCTCACATTTACATGTATATACAAATTATTTACAATGATAAAAAGTAGGGCTTCCTCCACTCCATTGTACAAGTCCGTTTGTTGACAGCTTTTCCCGTGCTGTATAGCTGTACCGTCAGTGAAAAGTCATTTTCATGTGACTATTCCTTGGTCCAAAAACAATCAACTCTGAGGTGTGCTCACGTATTTTCAATGTTTACAACGTATACAACTTCGAAATACATGCTACTCATGTTCTATGATCAATGTGCAAAGGGGTTTATATAACAGGTAAATAAATAAATAAATAGATTTAACCAGTAACATGGCAAATTAACGAATATCGAGTTTAAAAACTTGTCTTATTATGTTCCCCAAACGAAGTTGGGGAACATATTGTTTTTACTCTGTTTCTTATTATGTTCCCCAAACGGAGTTTGGGAACATATTGTTTTTACTCGGTTTCTTATTATTATTATTATTATTATTATTAAGGTCTTCCGTTGTTCTTGTTATTCTTCGGTTTCTTTTTACCTATTATTATTATTATTCTTACCAATTTTGTGCACGCGATTTCTCGTAAACTACTGGGCCGATTCTCATGAGACTTTCACATCTGATAGGTACTGATCTGTCACTGCTTAAGATATGAACTGAAGATTGATTGGATATGATAGTTCATGATTTATATCGTTGCAGAATCGCCTTTTCGTGCGCCGTCAGTACTTCCGGTCGATACCGGAAGCGAATTTAAAAAACGCAATTTCTCAACTTTTCTTTTTTAATATTTTTGATTTTGATTTGAATAGAGACCCTTTTGCAGAAGCGAAATATGTAATTTGTTTGAAAATCGAAAAAGCCAATCCCGAGATATTTGCATTTGAAAACGCGAAGCGGCGATCCCAATGGCTAAATGGTTAGCGCGTTGGATTGTCACGTGGGCGACCCGGGTTCGATCCCCCATATGACCAAAAAATTTTATCATTTTTTCTGGTCGAATTTTCGATATTATTTAATTTTAGACCATTTGGAACAATACATTATAAACTTTTAAGCATATTTTGCGTAATTAGGGGCTCAGAGGGGCCAGAATTCTTTCATCTTTAACTCTTTAATGATCAATATTTTGTGAAACATTACAGAAGCAAAGATGTTAATATTAACGATTTGCAACAATAAATTATAAAATTGTGATCATATATTACGTAATAAGGGGTCACAAGGGGCCAGAATGCTCAATCGATGACGCTTCATATCTCGAAAAGCTGATAAATTTTGATAAGCAATATTGAACAAAAGATGGTCAGAATAATGTTTTATACAATATGCATACTTTGAATTTTTGTAAAACGGCCCCATTAAGGACTTGTAGGGATGGCCCCTAAATATTTCCGTTTAGCAAATCTCCACAACGAATAGAAATCTCTGAATAAGTGTTGAACAAAAAATCTTCAAAATCATAAGAACTTTCATTTGATATCAAAAAAAAGGGGCTGATCCCTCAAATTAGGGGCTCAGAGGGGCCAAAAGTCTTTTATCTATAACTCTCTAATGATCAATATTCTGTTATACATTACTGAAGCAAAAGTATTTACCTTAACGATTTGCAACAATATATGATAAAATTTTGATCATATGTTACGTAATTAGGGGTCACAAGGGGCCAGAATATCAAACATTTGATGCTTTATATCTCGAAAATGGGGAATATTTTGATAAGCAATATTGAACAAAAGATAGCCAGAATAATATTCTAAACAATATGCATAATTTGAATTTTTGTAAAACAGCTCCATTAAGGACTTGTAGGAGTGGCCCCTAAATATTTCCGTTTAATATATATCCACAACGAATAGAAATCTCTGAATAAGTGTTGAACAAAAAATCTTCAAAATCATAAGAACTTTCATTTGATATCAAGAAAAAGGGGCTGACCCATCAAATTAGGGGCTCAGAGGGGCCAAAAGTCTTTTATCTAGAACTTCTTAATGATCAATATTTTGTTATACATTACTCGGGCAAAATTATTCATCATAACGATTTGCATCAATATATGATAACATTTTGATCATATGTTACGTAATTAGGGGTTGCAAGGGACAAAATGCTGCATTTTTTATGCTTTACGTCTCAAAAAGGGGGAGTATTTTTATCAGCCTTATTGAACAAAAGATGTTCAGAATTCCGTGATAAAAATGAGAAATTTTAAATTCAATGAAGGAAAACTTAAAGTAATTCTCTTTTATCTCAGTCAAAATCACATCTCATCTTATCTAGAAATTCAACGACCTACTCGTTGCTCGCAACGAGATCTCATCTAGTTGTTATTCTTTTTTTTTCTTACAAAATTTGTGCAGGCGATTTCTCAGAGATGGCTCGTTCGATTTTATTCAAATTTTCAGGGTTGGTGCGTTGTTATTTGAAGTTTTTGTTATTCCGGTGGGTTTTTTCATGGATATGTACTTCCGGTCTAGAGTTATCGCCCTTTTATTAAAATTCAGAGGACCTTCTTGTCTATTATTGATCTCAAAAACGGCTTGAGCTAGAGCGCTGAAATTTTCAGTGATGATAGAGGACATGTTGCCAAGGTGCACCTGGGTCAGGATAATTTCCTGAAGTGTTTTGTATGGAAGCTCGGTAGGGGTCAAAATTTAGGACACGAGTCATGAGTGATTTTTGGAGACATTTTGCATCATATCTTTTAAAGTATAATTATTTTGTTAAAACATACTGAACAAAATTTGTGCAGAATGACAAGATCCTTAAAATGATATTCAGAAAAAAGTGCTGAATCATCACATTAGAGGGCAAAAGGGGCTAAAAGTCTTTTTTCGATTACTCTTTAACAGTCAATATTTTGTTATACATTACTGAAGCAAAAATGTTTATCTCAACATTTTACAACTATATATTATAATTTTAATGTCGTATAATACATGATTAGGGGCCAAAAGGGGCCAGAATGCTAAATCTTTGACGCTTTATATCTCGAAAGTGAAAAATATTTTGACAAGTAACATTGAACAAAAGGTGTTCAAAATCATGTTCTGAACAATATGCAACCTTTCATTTTTCGCTAAAAGTCCCCATTAGGGAGTTGAAGGGTTGGCCCCTAAATATTTCTTTTGCAAATAACTCGAAAACGAAAAAGAATCTCTGAATAGTTGTTGAACAAAAAGTGTTCAAAATCCTAAGGGCTTCAAGATGAAATTAAGAAAAAGGGGCTGGGCACTCAAATTAGGGGCCAAAAGGGGCTGAAAGTCTTTTTTCGATAACTCTTTAACAGTCAATATTTTGTTATACATTACTGAAGCAAAAACGTTTATCTAAACAACCTACCACTGTTTATTATGATTTTAATGTCGTATAATACATGATTAGGGGTCAAAAGGGGACAGAATGCTAAATCTTTGACGCTTTATATCTCGAAAGTAAGAAATATTTTGACAATGTATATTGAACAAAAGATGTTCAAAATCATGTTCTGAACAATATGCAATATTTCATTTTTCGCTAAAAGTCCCCATTAGGGAGTTGAAGGGTTGGCCCCTAAATATTTTTTTTGCAAATAACTCGAAAACGAAAAAGAATCTCTGACTAGTTATTGAACAAAAAGTGTTTAAAATGCTAAGGGCTTCAAGATGAAATCAAGAAAAAGGGGCTGTGCACTTTAATTAGGGGCCAAAAGGGGCCAAAAGTTTTCAATCGATAACTCTTAAGTTGTTAATATTTTGTAATACATTACTAAGCAAAGATGTTTATCTCAACCATTTATACAACTATTTATCATGATTTTCAGGTCGTATGATACGTATTTAGGGGCCAAAAGGAGCTAGAATGCTAAATCTTTGACGCTTTATATCTCGAAAATGAGAAATATATTGATAAGTAATATTGAACAAAAGATGTTCAAAATCATGTTCTGAACAATATGCAACCTTTTATTTTTCGCTAAACGTCCCCATTAAGGAGTTGAAGGACTGGCCCCTATATATATATCTTATGTGAATAACTCAAAAACGAAAAAAATCTCTGAATAGTTGTTGAACAAAAAGTCATCAAAATCATTAGAGCTTTCAGATGATATGAAGGAAAAAGGGCTGATCCCTTATGTTTGGGGCCGTATGGGGCCATAAGTTGATTTTTTGAAAGTCTTTAATGTTCAATGTCTTTTTACAGATTATGGAAAATCATTATTTTAGAATGAAAATCTCAATCAAAATCTTATCTCATCTTATCAAAAATCGGACGGAAGACCCACTCGTTGCTCGCAACGAGATTGTATCTAGTTATTATTATTATTATTATGCCTTTTTCTTAAATTTAAGTGGTCTTGTTGTTCAAATTATTATTGGAAGAGGTTGCTAAATTTCTGGAGAAGTCTAGAAAGAAAATTCTTGCAAAATAACCGAAAGGTTTATGAGAGAATGGAACCAGAATTCAGAATCCTCTACATCAAATTTCTTTATGAAAGCGTCTAAACCCACACGTC